CGATAAATAATATACATAAATTTTATTATTATACATACATAATATACTATTTTATAAACAATTTTAAAAATCTTATATATCTATTCATCAAAATTTTATTTATAATTTACTTATGAAAGTAAAAATGAAGAACATTTATCTTATTGATTTTATGTATATGAGTGTCTATTACAATTTTTTGTGGGATTGAAAATGTCAATGTCTCTTCCTTCTAGGGCAAAAGTAGTGAACTTTGAAGCTTTATTCATAGCAAATTCAATGATCGAAAGTTTCGTAATGTCAATCATTCTAACTATTTTTCGTTTTGAATGGATTGTTGTCACTTTTTTCACATTTTAAATGAATTGCTTCTTGTATTTTTGTGTATGGTTAATAACCGAATAACCGAACCAAACCAAACCGAAACCGATAATCACCAAACCGATAAATGTATATTGTATTTGGTTTGGTTTGGTTTTGATAATTTTAAAACCGATTAAGTTGGTTTGGTTTTGATTTTGATCAATAACCGATCCAAACCAACCCGTGAACACCCTTAATGAGGACAATAAATGCACCTTCAAATTTCAATACACTCAATTAAGGTATTGGAATAGACTATATTAATTAATACTTAACGTCAATTATTTTTTTAATAGGTGTGTCAAATTAAATTATGACAAGTAAATAGAAATGGAAGAAGTACTAGCTAGTATTAAACTCCCAAAAATAAAATAAAATACTACTAGTAGACATAGTAAACACATGCAAATCAACTTTGCTCATTGTTTATATTATCGAATTAAAAAAATATATCTTTGTCCCATAAAATATAGAATAAAGCGGATAAATATTTCTTGTCTTCCCTTCTTCATTTATCTATCCTCTTTTTAAATAATTAATAATAATGGTTATAGTTAATTAAGGAGAATTAGTTACAACCAAATCAGAATTCATCATTAATACAATGACTAATTCAAACGTTTAAAACCCAATTAATTTTCCCCACCTTTAGCATATGGCATTATCAGTTACTAATCAAATCAGAATTCATCCGTAATCAAATATCTAATTCCAAAAATTGTCACAATAAAACTAGTCGTCTACTAGATCAAAATTTTAAACAAAATGCCTATATTTTTTTTCAAACTTTTTTATTTTAGCGCTCTAACTTTACAAAGTACTGGTCATGAGATTAATTCAAATTAATAAGATATTACATTAAAAATTTATTTACCAATATGATGATTTGAGTAGATTAAGTCAAAATTCTAAAATATCATCTAATACAAAGACTAGACATATTTTTTTCTTTTAATCTAAATTCTATATTATTTTAATCTAAGTTCATTATTATTTATTAATTTATTTTTTGGGCAAACGTTTCATTAGCCTCACTAATTCAAACTTTAAAACTCAATTATCAGTTACCAAAATCTTAGGAGTCCATCCCTATTTGTATGAACTTGTTAAAACTTTTCAAATAAACTTGATCATTACCTTCTTGAAAATACCTTCATAAGCTCAAGCTTTGTTCTTGCTATACTATGTCTAACCAAAAGAAAAACCAAAACCAAAATCCAAGTAAAAACCAAAATGCAAACCAAAACCAGAACAAAAACCAATATCTAAATCAAAACCATAATTCATATCCATTAGAAAATGAGGATTTTAATCTAAAGGAGACAAAACCAACTCTTGGTGGTGGAAGAGTTACTGCAAATGACAGACTTGGCACAGCATTTGATCTTGTTGAGCAAATGCATTACTTATATGTAAGGGTAGTCAAGGCAAAGGACATACCTTTTAAAAAAGATGGCAATAGCAATCCTCATCCTTTTGTTGAAGTGCAACTTGGGAATTTAAAGGGTCTAACTTTTCACTTTGAACACAAGTCTAGTCCTGAGTGGAGCCAAGTGTTTGTCGTGTTGAAGGACCGGATTCAATCAAGAGTTCTTGAAGTTTGCTTGAAGGATAAATCAAGAATTGGTGATAGTGATGATGCTTTGATTGGAAAAGTAAATTTTGAGATCAATGAGGTTCCGAAAAGGGTACCTCCAGATAGTCCTTTGGCACCTCAATGGTACTGGATGGAGAATAGGAAAGGGGAAAAAGTGAAAGGAGAGTTGATGTTGGCTGTTTGGATAGGGACACAAGCTGATGAGGCATTTCAAGAAGCTTTACATCTAGATGCCACAGCAGTGAATGGTGACGGTGTTGCGAATATAAAATCTAAGGTTTATTTATCACCTAGACTTTGGTATCTGAGAGTTAATGTGATAGAAGCTCAAGAATTGCAGATAGGCAACAAGAACAGGCTGCAACCGGAGATTTACGCGAGGATTACACTAGGAAATGTGGTTTTAAGGACTAAGAATTCTTTGAGTAAGAATGTTTGCCCATCATGGAATGAAGATTTGATGTTTGTAGTTGCAGAACCTTTTGAGGATCAGTTGGTTTTGAGTGTGGAAGATAAGGTGGCACCAAACAAGGATGAATTGCTGGGGAAGTGTGTCATATCTTTACAAGATGTAGAAAAAAGGGTTGATTTTAGTACTCCAATTAGTAAGTGGTATGGTCTTGAGAAGGAGGTTGTGTCTGAGGGTGGCAACAGCAAAGTTTCTAAACTAAACAGCAAGGTTCATTTGAGGTTATCTTTTGATGGTGGATATCATGTTCTTGATGAATTAACACATTATAGTAGTGATCTCAAGGCAACATCCAAGGAGTTGTGGAAACCAAGTATTGGGGTTTTAGAACTTGGAATCTTGAATGCTCAAGGTTTATCACCAATGAAGAACAGAGATGGCCGCGGAATAACAGATCCTTATTGTGTGGCGAAATATGGTCAGAAATGGATTAGGACAAGAACAATTATCAACAGTTTCAATCCCAATTGGAATGAACAATACACTTGGGAGGTGTTTGATCCTTGCACCGTGATCACGATAGGAGTGTTTGATAATTGTCATTTGCAAGGTGAAGATAAAAATGACAAAGCCAAGGATTCAAAAATTGGGAAGGTAAGGATTAGACTCTCCACACTTGAGACTAATAGAGTTTACACTCATTCATATCCTCTCATAGTGTTGACACCAGCAGGGGTGAAGAAGATGGGTGAAATTCAACTGGCTGTGAGATTTTCTTGTTCATCTTTATTCAACATGTTGGCTATGTACTCTCAACCCTTATTACCAACTCTTCATTACCTTCATCCGCTGACTTATTACCAGATCGATAACCTAAGGCACCAGGCTACACAAATTGTTGCCACGAGGCTAAGTCGTGCAGAGCCACCATTGAGAAGAGAATTGGTGGAGTACATGCTTGATGTGGGCTCAAACACGTGGAGCATAAGAAGATGCAAAGCCAACTATGTTAGAATAGCTGGGATCCTAACAGGCCTAATTGCAATTTGCAAATGGTTCAATGGGATTTGCACTTGGAAGAACCCTTTCACAACTGTGCTAGTGCACATCATATTCTTCCTATTCGTGTGCTTCCCGAGGCTGATCTTAAGCAGCATGTTCGTCGTTGTTTTCTTCATTGGTACATGGAACTACAGAATGAGGCCTAGAAAGCCACCACATATGGACATCAAGTTGTCACAAGCTGAAAGAGTACCTTGGGATGAATTGGATGAGGAGTTTGACACTTTCCCAACGTCTCGAAACAATGATGCTGTGAGAATGAGGTATGACAGATTAAGAAGCATTGGATCAAGAATGCAAGCTGTTGCAGGGGATTTAGCTAATCAAGGGGAAAGATTCTATAACTTGTTAACTTGGAGAGATCCAAGAGCTACTGCTCTATTTCTTATCTTCTGTTTGGTTGCATCAGTAGTGTTATATGTCACTCCTTTTACAGTTTTAGTGAGTCTTATGGGATTCTATACAATGAGGCATCCAAAATTCAGAGAGAAACTCCCTTCTGTGCCCTTAAGTTTCTTCAGAAGACTGCCTGCAAAAACAGACAGCTTGTTGTGAGGATATGAATTTGTAGCCATGCTGAATTTGGTGTTGGATAAGGCTGCGTACAATAAATCCTCGTGGTTTGGCCCTTTCACTGGACCCGTGGGAGCTTTAGTGCATCGGGCTGAATTTGGTGTTGGACTTTGAAAGCTACTTCCCTTTATTTAATTGGTTTATTTTTTGTTGTTTAGGTCAGATTGTGGGAGCATTTACATTCTGTTCATTAGTGAATGGACTGTTTGAGTCAATCTTTTACTAATATAATTCTTTTTCCATGCATTTTGTCTAAGACTTCTGCAACATCAATATAACCAGTGAAATCTCACTAGTGAGGTTTGAAAATGGTAGAATATGCAAATCGTATCACTAACTACCTCGAGATGGTAGAGCGACTGTTTTAGTATTTCAACCTTTTAATGTTTGTTTTTTCTGCATTGAAAGTGCTCATAGAACAATAGGGACAAGCTGGGAGAGCATAGAATTGCTATAGTTTCTTTAATTTAGAGGATTCATTATATTAAAGGAAGTAACTAATAAGCCATCAAAAGGGAAATTGTGGTTTCTATTTTTCTGTTTTTTTTGGGTAATCCTTGATGAAAAAATATTAGTGTTATAGCTGAAAAAGATATAAGAACTATATTTGCTAATTATTTGATCAAAAGAATTAAATATATAGTATTTATTAGTTTTAATAGCAGCATTTCATTTGCTCTTATTTTTTGTCACAATATAACTAAGTGCCAACATTCAAAAATTCAATTTTGTAGAATAAAATTGTCTTTATCACCATTATAATAATTAGTACTACTATTCTTTAATTCTTTTTTTTCCCCGTTGGTAAAACTGTGAGTGAAAAACAAAAAATAGAAAACAGTGAGTAACTTTCTTCCTCTTCTCATGTTTTTCTTGGGTTTTATATTATTTATTATTTTTTGTTAGTTTATGTGCTTCTAATTTATATTAGAAAAATAACTTGTTAAATCATGCAAAAACATCTTTTTCAGTCAAATATTTTATCCTTAACATGCCTCAAGCTACAATTTTCTTTTATAATTTGCAAAATTTATGTCTAATATATCGATAATCCTTTAAATTTGTTTTTTTTTTTAAATGGAGAGAATGTTTGTCTACGCAAAGAGTTATAAGAAGAAATTATTTTCTTAACAAATCGTAAATTATAAAAAATATTAAATATAGCATATTGGCGAAACAAAAATACTTTATATAGTACGGGGCAGCCATTTATTAATTTGCTTATAAAAGGCGAGTCGTTTCTAAAACTCTTGTCTTGTGTAGTATTTTTTTCTTAAACCCTAAACCCTAGCTGTCTCAGTAATTGTTTCATACACAGCAGCAAGAAGATGGAAGAAGAAAAGCCAAAGGCTATGTCACGGCCTCATTTGGTGGCAGAGAAAGATTACTCAGCTTTGAAAGAGCTATTCAGTCATCATATTGAATCTTTTGATTATATGGTCGATAATGGACTTGAAACCATGCTCTTGAATATCAAGCCTATTGAAATTGTTGATTCCTTTTCCTCCCTCAAGCTAAGAAATATCCTTTTCTTGGGGTTTTATTCTTGCTTGTGTTAATCCGTTGCTAGTTCCTTTTTATTTTTCCTGAACAAAACTGAAAATTCAATTCTTCATTAAAGATTCGATTTTTAGGTATGCATATTTATTGAATTTCTGACTATTTTGTTGCTGCTATGAGTTGATTTTTACTCTGTTTGTGGAACGTCATCATTGCACACGTTTGAGGTTGCCTTAGCTGTGTTTTTAATTAGTATAGGAATGCTGTGGATGCTTCTCTTATTAAGTGTTTTTTTTGTCTTATCTTCAATATTAAGTTCCATCATCTATTTAATAATTTTTCTTAACCTGAGAATACTCTGGTTCGGCAAACCTGAATTATTTCCACCTCAAAAAGAACGCGCTTCCAAGACCATGCATGATGCTTTATATCCTTTTGAGGTACAAATTTATGTTCATGTGTAGTTCTGTTAGTGGATATACAGACCTGCAGCTAATCTATGGTATATTGCGTGTGTGAAACAGTGTAGACAAGCTAAACTTTCATATACAGGAAAGTTTTTGGTGGATATCTGTTTCCAGTATGGTGATGGAGCTGTAATCCGGGAGAAATTTAATTTTGGACAGTTCCCTATCATGTTGAAGGTGAGTTTTATATTTCCCCAAGTTTCAGCTAATTTCTGCTGAAAATGTTGCAAGTTGAGAAAAAGAAAATAGACATGATGGGATAGTTACAAAAAACAAATCCGATGATGCACCCCTTAAAAGTGATTCTGATCATTACATGTGTTTTAAGCCAACTTCTATAAGTCACAGATGTTTAAAAAGTAAGCTCTTAATCGTAGAACCACCAATACAAAATGTGTTGCCTCCTTTTTTTCCTTTTTAATGACAGTACTATTGTTAATGCTTGTATGACCTTATTTGTTCATTTTTCTTCTTTTAGTCAAAGCTATGTCACTTGAGAGGTGCTGATGACTCCAGAAAGTTAATTGCTTACAAGGAAGAGCCATCAGAAATGGGCGGGTGAGAGCTGAAATTCTAATGATCAATCTCTTTATCCCAACTCTATTCAGCTCCTTTTCTCTGCTAGTTTTGGGTGTCCTGCCTTTTTCCATTAGGAATTCTAGAACTTGTGAAGAATCTGTCATATTTTTGTAACTCAGAAATATTTGTTGGGTGTGTTCACAGATATTTCATTCTTAAAGGGCTTGAGAGAGTTATTCGTCTTATAATTTTGCCAAAGCGAAACTATGTGAGTCTTCCTTGCTTATTTGTTCTCCATCTATGACAAAGTTTTGACACTTCTATCATTTACACTTGTTTCTCTATATTATGTTTTACTCCACTGGAATATTCTTTTCATGTGATTCATTGGTTTCATTTAACATTTTATTATAGCCAACGAGTATGGCACGGAATTCATTTCGTGATAGGCGAGAAGGATATTCTGATAAAGCTGTTGTTATAAGGTTCTTTCTCCACACTCTTACTTGATGAGTTGTTCATGTAGCAAGTTGCGTTTGGTTCTGCTTTGGTGCTTGTTTATGAAGAGATGCTATCTTGCTTGTGATAGTTCCTGAAGACTGTGTCTTACATGTCTGCCGAAATAAATATCGTCTCTGAATAAGGGTATTCTCAAGAACATTGTGTACTAGAATTTTTTTTAGAGATCCTCGTGCTGAAAAATATCATAAAAAAGAAAGCAAGCAATGTGCTATGATTAACGCCAGTAAGACATCTGAAAACAGATAACACTTTCTAGCTTTTTAAAACATCAAGTAAAATAACTGTGAAGGCTGAAGGAAGGGGTGGGAGAATGAAGAGGTGAGATCCTATTCCGTCATGCTGATAGGGTTGGTTGAATTGCTAATCTTTCCTCTTCTGATAGGGTTCCAATGGTAACTACTTAAAGATTACATCTACAGTAATTGTTTTGATCTTGAGACTGCCTAAAATAATTCATCTAAAGGACAAAAAAGTACAAAACAATGTTTTACATTTATTGTGATCCAAGGAAAAGTTTGTCTAGGAGTTGTATATTTTACCAATAAACAATCAGTACACTTCAAATCTTTTATATATCAGTGAAAATTACTAAAGCTGATTTAAGGTTGCCTGATTGACCATATTGATTTTTCTGACTCAAGGGAGGAGAGAGTTTTGGATAAGGTTGATGCTTTCTGATACTTCTTTGCTATCTGCTATACAAGAAGAACCTTTGGCTTATTTAGTCAGCAAAAATAAATTAGGATGCAATAAATGTCAAAATGTTTTTCCCGTCTATTATATGATACTGCTTCAGTTCTTTATTTGTGGGGCTCACATGTGTTTTGGGGCAATACTAATCCATCTATTTGGACTTCAGATGTGTAAGGGAAGATCAATCTGCAGTCTCACTTAAATTGTATTATCTAAACAATGGAAGTGCAAGACTTGGATTCTGGTGAGGAACTAAAACTTAGCATGATTGAACTGTCTTCTTGTATGATGTCTGAGACATGCTTCTTGCTATCTGCTTGCAGGATACAAGGAAGGGAATACTTGCTCCCCGTTGGTATCATATTAAAGGTAAACTGGCATTCTCTAGTCTTGTTAGATTTGTCTTCGAGAGACTAGAATGTTTTGATTTATTGCAATATGTGAAACTTGCAATCAAATTTTACATTAAAAAGCTAAGCATTACATTTATAATTATCCTTTCAAGTAATGGAGAAGTATCTAGTAATGTTGAATTTTTGTTCATGGCAATTTGCCGAGTATGATCTGACATTCTGGTGATCATGTTCGAGATAAACTGGCTGGCATAGGAAATACAAACAAGGCTCTGCCAGTTGGTGATTCTGTTTTCACATTTCTCCAGGACCCCATTCCATATGCCTTTGGATTTGCTTTTAGCTCCCAAATGCATGCCTAGATAAGTAGCTGGAAGCTCCCCAACCTTTCCACCTAGTTTGCAGGCCAAGCTTTCTAACAAGCACATTGTTGACGAGATAAGGCTTTTCCCCCACTTTATGTGGAGATCAGAGACGGCTTCAAAAATGACAAAAATAATCCTCAGTATCGGGATTTGTTCTGCCTATGCTTCACAGAACACCAATGTATCATCTTCATATTGTAGATGAGTTATCTCCATATTACATAATTCTCCTGCTTGGAACCCTTTGATCCACCCCTTTCCCCTTGCTGTATTAATTAGGTTGCTCATCCCTTCCTTTGCTAAGATGAATAAAAGGGGGGAGAGAGGGTCCCCTTGCCTCAGGCCTCTTTGAGAAGAGAAGAATCCAATAGGTTCTCTATTGACAAGTAAAGAGAACTTAACAGTGCCAATACAGTGCTTCATCCATCTATCCCCAAAACCCGTTCTTTCCGGAATCTGGGTAAGAAAGTCATAAGCTTTCTGTATATCCAACTTGCATGCAATTCCTCGCTTCTAGCTCCTCTGTTTGGCCTCTATGCATTAATTGGCTATCAAAACAACAT